CTTTTTAATTTTTTCTCCAGTTGCTGTTCAGATAGAGCTTGTTTCTCTACTTTACCTTCTAATTCACTAATTCGGTCCTCTGCTTCTTCTAGTCTAATGTAGAAACCTTCCATGGTGTTTTTGATTGTAGCTATATACCACTTTTCATTTCTTCCTGATTCTTGCATTGGTTGTTGATTTTTCTCATCCATCCGGTGAATGAATTGTACAACCATTACTCTGAATTCTTTTTCTGTCATGTTTCATTCTTCAGTTTCACTAATTTCCTTTCTTGGTGACTCAGTTTCTTTCCTCTGGGTATTGTGTCATCTCCCCATTCTGAGTATCTCCAGAAGGTTCAAACGTTGAAATGCGTGGGCCTGGGCTGTGTGCAGTAGGAGCTTCGCACCACCCTAGTGTCACTGAAGAGCTCTAAGATGTGTGGCTGTTGTGGGTTGGTGGGAACCAGGCTTGCTCAGAGTCAGCCTTACCAGCGCTCAGTGTGGCCTCATGTGCGCACTTAGAATTAGGGACCCTGCCTGCACCATGCTGAAACAGAGACCCCTCTGGAGTGTGTTGAAAATTAGAGCCCCTTAGTGTGTGCCAGGAGTCAGAGTTCCCCAAGAATCCAGTATCAGAGTTTCTGTTGCTTCGCGCGGCCTCACATTGAGAATCAGGGTCCGTGTATGCACATGCACCAAGAATTGGAGTCACTGGCTCTTAGTGTGAATGCACTGGGAATCAGGGATCCCAGGCACAGGTGATAAGAAACAGTCAAGTCACTGGTGCTTAGTGCTGCCTCCCGCCAGGATAATTGTGGTTCCGGAGCCCGTGCTGCCGGAGCAAGTTCCCAGTGTTCACGCATTCCAGGCTAAGATTCCTGTAGCAGCACTGAGGCCCGGGCGAGGGGTGGGTCTATCAGTTACTATGGCGCTGCCCGAGAGCCTGCAAGGCGGGGGATGGGCTCTGTTACTCACAGAGATCTGCCGCCGGGATATCTGGATTTTTGGTGTCTGTGGGTCTGCACCTATGGTCGCAGGTCTCTGCGACCCAGTGGCTGCAGGGTCCTGGTTTGTGTCTGAGATCAGACTGAGTGTTGCTGAGGCCAGGATCCTAGTCTTAAGCAGCTCTGTTTCTCAAGATGGCGTGGTCTCTGTGCCCACGCTGGCCACCCAGGAGTGTCCGCACTGGGAGCGGGGCTCCGCCGTCTAAGGCTGCCCAGTTTAGCAACCCTTAGAAGACCTGCAGAATCTAACTGTTCCTAGCTCATACACACACCCCCACACACATGTCCACACACTCCTCTATCACTTCCTCATGCTCTCACACTCTCTCCCTCCCTACCTTCCTGCCAGTTGCCATCTTCCTCCTCTCCAAAAATTAATTATCTTGGTTAATGTCAGAGCTCAGGATCTATCAAATTATCAGAAATTCCAGTTTGTTGACCACCAAAGTGTAGGTAATAATGTTACCATTTTTTTGTGGCTTAGCTTATTTTTTTTAAAATTCTTTACTGTTTAAAGTATTACATATAGTATTACATATGTCTCCATTTTCCCCCATTGACCTCTCCCTGGCAACCCCCAACCCCTGGCACATGCCCTCACCTCCCTAGTATCTGTGTCCATTGGTTATGCTTATATGCATGCATACAAGTTCTATGGTTGATCTCTTACTCCCACTCACCCCTCCCCTGTCTTCCCACTGAAGTTTGACAGTTTGTTCATTGCTTCCTTGTCTCTGTATCTATTTTTGTTACTCAGTTTATAATGGTCTTTACATTCCACAAATGAGTGAGATCATGTGATATTTATCTTTCTCTGACTGGCTTTCAACAGTACGACGATTGAAATTTCTTTTGAGAGTAAATTTTTTAAACTTAAACTATATAGGTAGGTACACTGTTATTAACTTCATTAGAGTACGCCTAAGGCTTAGGAAGAGCCACACTCAAGGGGCCAAAGAGCCACATGTGACTCGCGAGCCGCAGTTTGCCGACCACTGCTTTGGTTGATCTCTTATCCCCACCCCAGCCCCTGTCTTCCCTCTGAAGTTTGATGGTCTGTTCATTGCTTCTCTGTCTCTGGGTCTATTATTGTTCATAAGTTTATGCTGTTCATTAAATTCCACAAATGAGTGAGAGCATGTGATATTTATCTTTCTCTGACTGGCTTATTTCACTTAGCATAATGCTCTCCATGTCCATCCATGCTGTTT